ACAGACAAGTACCTACGAGTAGAAATTCGCGGAAGAGCAACCGGTTGCGTCGATAAGATGCCAAAATACTCAATGAGTCTGGCCGCTGCATCATAGAAATGATCCTCGCATACCGCAGCGTCTGGATCGGGATTCCGGGAGACATTTCCCGAACATCAGAAATGCAGCCCGGCCCGCGAGCTTTTATGCGTTCGAGCGTGCACGCGTATGAAGATGATGATCTCAACCGTCATAATCGCCTTATAGAGTTCCATGAAACGAAGAACATGAATGAGCCCCGAGGAATATGGATGAATACTCCGCTCACCCTATGAATATGGTTTCGAAACTGAGAAAAGCTTTCTCCTGATTTCGCTGATCGCCCCGTGGGAAGTTATGGCCACCCTCACAGTCCGTGTGATTCCATGGAATGTGATACGTTCTTGCGGGAAAGGCGACATATACAGAGGGCGAAGGGTCGAATTTCTCCCTCTCGTCCACCAGCTTCGCACAACACGAAGCGGCGCAATGAATGAGAAGGAGCTCAGCAAACATTCGTCTGATGAATTATGAGTCAATAGCCCATGTCATCGCTATGTACACAAAACACGCTCACCCGTGGAATTTGTGCAATATGATACAGCTCGAAACACGAAACCGTACATGCCCTTCGGCCGTGACCCGCGACTTGTATCGACGTGCACGGCTCAGAACCTTGTCCGGGAGAGCTTCGGAGGACGGTGGTCGGTAGGGAGCACCATTTTTTTCTGAGGAATCGCGCACGCGGTCTGCGCATCTTCGGTACCGTTTAAATGGTGCCGGAATGGTCTCGGAAAATTGTGAATCACATCAATAATTTCAATATAATGATTTCTGATTCGGTCGGTCGCCAGATATTTATCTCCCCTCCATCAGGGAACGCGAGGCGATATGACTGCACCATGAAGCATTCGACGCGAACTTCTTCGCTTCAGACAAACCACCGTTGATTTTTCCTCTCGTGGCGCCGTAAGTTCCCATCCAAGATTTTCAATGACTTCTGCACGGGGATGACGAAGCGCTCTCCATACCGGAGCCGAAGAATATCATCACCTGGAAAGTTGATTCAGCCGCAGTCGAGGGCGTCTCTCTTAGCTTTTGCATGGTGCTACGCGGGTGTTCACCGGGTGAAACGCTCAACGCGCGGAAGGACAGAGAGTATTCCGCATCACAGGTTATTCCCGAAAAATCAAGAATGGACTTCGATCTTTGGCCGAGCGGTCCTGAATCATCGTCTGGGGAGCAGGAGAGCGAGATATTCGGGAAAGCCGCTCAGGAAATCACTTCAGTCCGGGATTGAATGCCTTTTCTGCTCCCAATGCTTATCGGATTATGGACTCGAAAATATGTATCGTGCAAGATGCAGATGACTCGATCGCTGAACGAGTATGGAGGATCGAAGACGGGAAAACGCCCCGTGAGGCCGATCTGCGCTTATAAGTTTGAGCATATTTTCGAGGGAGCTCCTCGGGTCAATTTCTTGAAGTCTATCAGCTCAGACAGCTTCTGAGGAGCTATCAGCGAGCCCTATCATACGATTGATTGACATTTCGTTGCTTCAAAGAGCCGTACAGAAAATTTCACGCGGGTAGTGTCATGACACTACCGTGAAAGGACGTGAAACGCCTACGCCAAAACGGTGAACGAAACCCAGCTCCTTTTTTCAATCGACGTTTATCTTATGAAGAGCTCATTTTCGCCTATGGCATATATCGGTCGGACAGTTTATTCCGTTGTATAGGCCACAACAACCTGTATATCAAGTAGTGTCCTCGACAGCCTGTACGGTCCTTCAAAGCTGATCAAATCTTCTGCTGACCGACAAATGTAGCAGTCACCGCAAAAACCAATGAGGGTTCTCACATGTCTCTCAAAGTTCTTCACATTGACGGGATATCGCAACGGGAGATGGTTATCGTCAGCAAGCCGTTAAAATTCCGACATGATAAACGGAGATTAACATGACAGCTTTGTTCATCTTCGGAGTAGTTTTTTTGAGAATACGTTGGTGAGCCTGAAGGTTACATACAGATGAAACTCTTCCCAGAGTTTCCCCGCGAGGAATATAGCAGTCGGGAATTCTCTCATGCTTCTCAGCACGGAAATATCATCATTCGGAAAATAGGGCCCGAACCATATGCAGCTCCCTAATACTCATCGATAGATGTACTAGACTAGGAATCCCGTGCGCGACGCACAATCGAGGAACATCTACCGCACAGCTGACCAGAAATCGTTCCATAAAAAACGATGTGCATATACGTATATGATCAGGATGGAAAACATACTATTTCCTTCTTAATAAAACATTCTTCGGAACTTGAGAGCCTGATCCTCGAGTTGCGCAGGGGGACCAAAGACACTAGCTTTGGCTTGTAAGTCGAATCAGCTCTGAAATCCAATGTTCATAGGCTCTGGAGACATATTCATCAAGTAACCGCGGAGACTATCAGTATGATTGGAAATCGGGGCGTAAGGGCTCTTGACTTTCTCAGATTCATTTTGAATTTGAATAGAAGATTGTGCCGTAAATTGTCTGCCGATCAATACAATCCAACAAAAATTCTGTGCACAATTAAGAAAGTTCTAGCCTCTCAAAAGCGGCGTTAAATCGTTACATGAAGGACGAAGTACATTGAACGCGCCCCTGAGTCGAAATTAAAGACGTTTGACGACGTTTCACGTCAAAAACGCCGGCTGCCACCGTCAAAACGCCGCTTGGCTTTAACTGCAGTTGGATTTTTGGACCCCTGCGGAGGAAGATCTCACTCCTTGGAGGTGGATGACCGATTGGGATCGCATCGATGAGCGATCTCTCTATATAGTCTCTATATATGATATCGAAGAGCCGAAGGGAGCGCTTCGAGGAGCCAGTGACTCCCGATTGATTGATCGGCGTGTCGTAATCGGTTCTGAAATATTCTCAGGATTCAGCTTAGGGCAAGAAGAAAAGTATCGTTGAGTCATACTCATATCTTAAGATATTGCTTTTGCTGCGGATGTTAACAGCTGCGGTCTGAGCGAATTTTTCGATCAGCGATTCGTCCGCACCCTCGAGCGCCGCAATCCTGTAAAAGAATATCCTCGCTTTATTGTGCGTCGATTGCTTTCGGGATGCTCCCAGCATAAAATTACGCTCATTCGCTCACCTAACGTGGCGTCTCTCTAAATCAGTGAGTTTCCTGGGATTCTCGCCTGAGCTGAGCTTCGCACGGGAATGAGCAACAAGTGTCGCCCGTCGGTAGTCTCCTGGACGATTCTCGCGCTGAAGAGAAATATTCGCACGGATAGCGCATCGAGCCTCCGTCTACGAGAATTAAGGATTCACTGACCCGTCGCCTTCGAAAGGCGTGCGACCGGAACGGCCCGGAACGGTCCGAGCCGGGGCGTAAGGATTCAGTGCGGCGTATGACGGCCGTGAAAAGAGGATTCTTCCGAGCATCCGACATATTCTACAATTCACGAGCTCCATCTTTGGAACGAGGAAGCAACCCTGCCTTGCTGGACTCTTCCCTGGAAGAGCTCTACGGTTTCCTCAATACTCGTTGAGCACCTCTTTTCAACTTCCGGATCAACGATTCTTGCCAGCGCTTCCTGACCCGGCATGCTCTTCACGGCCATCAATTGCTGGTCACAATGACACACGATGATGATGCCTCACTCTTCCCAGCTCGAGTGAAAGATGAGAAAGTCAGAGATATCTGTCTAATTCAAAACTGATTACGAGCTTGATCGCATCTCTCTCATCGAATCTCGTGACGGTGCGACCGTGACCGTGGTACCGTGGCTGTCGTGATTTGTCATCTGAGTTATCAAGCAGTACGGACTTTGAACTCGAGTCGGAAGGAAAGCTCAATCTTGACATCGCGGACATATATTATGTGATTAAGGGGGATAATTGCCATGATTGGCACGATTGGCATAATTAACATGTTCGGTTTCATGGCTCCGTTAATCTGTAGAAACCCAACAGAGATCACATCGTCGATAGCAGATCGAAAAACACGTTCCCACAGGAATTTCCGTAGAAGCCGATCATACAGGAACTGACCAGAACCTTTGCTCTCGTCGGAAAATCCGTAGAAATGGCTTCAATCGAAAATGCGACCAATTTAGACGGCAAACACGTCCCCGAGGTGTAATCAGAGAAATGGATCAACCCCGTTTTATTGTTAGCCAGTTTTCGCCTCCTCGGCGATGAATCGACAATCGATCTCGTTTCTTCTTCCAGGTTTCCTCCTTGAAACCCTGAGAGACATGATGGATACCGCTTCCGTCGGGCCGTCGCTCAGCTCGTCGAAGGGTCATCCAGCAGCGTGGCTCCGGGGAGGACCGAGTTAGGAGCGAGGAGCTCGGAGGAGAAAGCAGCGAGCCACGATCAGCGGGAAGGGCAGCGCAGAGAGCATCCCGTCGTGAGAGTGAGCTAATCGAGCACTGAAGGTTTTCGAGCGGGGCGGATCGATCAACGCGAATTCTGATCCATGTTTTCCAGTGAATCCTAATGGAGATCCGTCACAGAACAATGAAGTACGGTCTGCTGTCTCCGAATGGACAATAATTGCCGTACATCTTTTCCGGGAAGATCAGTTTTATTTTTTGTGAGAATATGTGAAGGTTTATACATCGTCGAGTCTTCTCCTTCTCGGAAAATTCAAGGGCGGCTGGAGACACAACTGCGAGGAAACTCTCACTCTCTCTGACTCTCTGCTCCGGTTCTTCTACGAATTGACAAATTCATGCGTCGAAGTGATGCGGCAAAACCTCTCGGGACTTTATTCCAAAAACAATCTCACTTCTAGGGCTTACAACTCCCAGACGGATACAAATATTGGCAAACATATGAACGTACGGAAGGCGACACCGACCTGTGAATTTAACTCGCATGGGGAGTCGCTTTCGAACGTGCGATCGTCCCGTATGATGCGCGATGGAGAGCGAGCGATGCACGCAGTAATATCACGCAAAGAAATCTCGAAAGCAAGTCAGACCAATGAAATGGAACTCATTTTCGCTATTATCTTGCGGAAACTTTCATTCGATGTCACAAAAGCGGGAAGTACCAGCATGTGATGGAAGCACTCGAACGAGCTGATCAGAGTTACAACCTTGAGCAAAGAGACCCAGACGAATTTGGGCGTCTCGGTCGTGAGCATCATGTATAGACAGTAAGAAGCAGCGAAATAGAACTCCACGAATAGAAGCAGGAGGCAACGGAACGCCGCGCGCATTTTCTCATCTGAGTCCGCCTCTGCTTTATGGAGGAAAACGTACGGCGTAGTGAAGAACTCGTGAAACGATAAGGCCTTCCAAACCACGAGAAGTAAAAATATAGGCGGGCAATCTAGTCCGAACCAGATGAAGCAGCCGACGGCTCCGACTCCAACTGAAATCACCGACATGGGAGTCCACAAGCACGATAGAATGGAATTGGGAGCGAAACAAAAACATATTAATAATCGAATTATAAGAGGAATCGAGATCCAATGAACGACGAGCGACATATTGTCTAAAACACCCTCCCCGGAAGGATCGTTGATACTAGAATTCAAATCTGGATATTTAGCCACAATTCGCCTCAAGTTGCGTACCATGAGCTTCTCGTCGTTCGCGTCTACAACACGCATCGGGCGGAGTTTGCATCGAGAGGCAACGATCACCGTATCGTTCTCGTTGAACTTAATATCCCGATCGAATTCGGAGAATGGTTTCAAGCGCAGCATTTGCTTCAAGGCTATTGTTTGATAATCTCTTCTCGATGAGTTGGGATACATGATTCTCGCCTCCTCCATTCCAAACAGACGGGGGATTCTTTGGAACCAACAATTCGTCAATACCCTCGTGCTGTTACGGGTCGTACTTTCGAACTCGTCCAGCATTGCCATGAGACGTTCCCGTGTCTCAACATTCCAGTAGTCAATGCCTGCATTGATGTTAAGTCCATATCGGTAACCCGCGAGCGGGTCTAAGTACCAATACGCGGGAAGATCGACTTTCCCGGATGGTCCGTCCGGACGGGGTATTGGCCTGGGAATAGGAAAACGACAAGTTCAAGAGCGCAAGCACGACTCCTGGTATGTTCCGAAAGCTAGCTGGCTTCTAAAGCCTGTTTTTCTCGCTCGTCAGCCAGAAGAGTGTATGTAAGTCGAAAGAGAATTTGGCTCACCTATCTGTCTCCTCTCTGAGCTGCATGCATCCCGAGATTCCGACAACCAAGTAGACATAGAAGCTGATCATCACAATAGCTTTCAGCGAAGTTCCACGCAGCAGACACTCCCAAAAAGGGCGGAAGAGCTTCATCATACAGGGCTCACAGAGGTCAAGGTAAATACCTAATTGCTCTAGTCGTCCTTTTTCGTTTTCTGCTTCTCTCTCTTGTCCTTGTTCTTCGGCTCCTTCTCCTCCATGTTCTTCGGCTCCTTCTCCTCCATGTTCTTCGGCTCCTTCTCCTCCATCTTCTTCCGCTCCTCCCAGTCCGGGTTCTTCCGGTTTTCCTGGATTGTGTTCTTCCGCTTTCTCTCTCGGGTCCACCGATACCTCCTCAGCTCGGAAGAGATCGAGTCGCTTTGAGAGATGTATTATAGCGGTTGAGGCGCCAAAATTAGCTATGTCGAGGAAAGCCAAAACTACACATCCTGCCACAATCGAAAAGCATGAACTCCTAATCGCAGTAGACTTGACTCCTGCAAATGGCAGAAGGATATTCATCACCGGATGTGTTTCCAGACAGGGTATCGACTGCGCCATCCGGGGCCATTCGAAGTTTCCATCAGGCAATGCCATGAGGTTTACCCATAATCGATCCGAAGAGCGTCGCAATGCTTGCTACTCCCGCGAAGAGCGTCAGTATTCGTACCTCGATCTCGATCAGCGCGTCGTCAGAGTTTTGTTCATATGCGATGAGCCGCCAAACTAGGAGCTTTGGAGTGAGATCCAACGCTGAAATTGTAAATCGATCCACTCGAGAGAGTAAAGGAATGAAAAAATCATTGCTAACCATGTAATAATTCGCCAAAGCGCTCGAGAATGGAGAGATATTTCCAATGCGTCTCAGTCTCTCTGTGAACATTTCCACCTTCGCACGCGTATGCAGGCTCCGTAGAGAGAGCACACCATACACGATTGAGCTTCATGATCGGAAGGCGCGCTCGAATCCAGAGCAAAGCTTTTGGAAAGCTGTTTTTGTCACTGTGGGCAGGTTCATTGATCATTCCCGGAATAAGAGTATTCTCTCGGTATCCCGCTAACTTTTGTCCTCTGGCTCTGTGCTATCGGACAAGAGGGATCCTTCCCGGTAGCGGCAGAAGCTCCCGGCCCCGCAAACCTAACCAGTCTCGCTATCTTATCAGTTCGGATTTTATAAACCTAACTAGTACTTGAAGTAAGACTGTCCTACCCCGAGCCGCGCGCCATTGGGGTGAAATATGCGTGATATCAACTCACCTAATTACGTAAATCAGCATTAGATAAATAGGTCCGAGACTCTCGTCGGATCTGAAACTCGTAAGGACTACGGCGACCGCTGAGCAAGAGATACCCGACGTAGAAATGGCGAGGATGTCCAGCAGGATTCCTGGCCTCAGTTTACCTATACTCCATTCCGGACACTCGAAGAGGACGCGAAGAACAATGCCACAGACACAGAGGGCCATGATGTCCTGCAACAAGCTTCGCTCATCGTCGTATCGTTTCTGTGGTAGGGTACTAATGAGTGCGGTAGCCACCAGGATCGCAGCCACTATGTAATATGCCGGCTTCTGGATCGCCGACTTTCCTATGGCTTTCAGCATCTCCAGACAGTGATTGGAATCAACGTCCGGTGGATGATTTGATAAGCAGACACAGTCTTCTGCTGTAACTGGAATCGCATCAATCATTGAAATGCGCGTCTTTGTCGACAACGAACACCGTCCAAAGGGGCGATTCTTCTGGAAACGGATAGATACTTACATACGTATTATATAAACACCTGTCCCGCAGAGTTCACGCGAAAGTTTCACAATTATAATCGGCTTCAGTGTCGGGGGATGAACATCGGAGCGCTGTTTTTCCCGGACGGAAGATGATGTTCTCAGCGGACTGCGGACAGCTTGCCAAAAACGCACCGGAAGGCGCTGCTAAATCCCTGCGAAAACTCGCCGAGGACTGAAGCATCTGGGTTTTCACTCAGTAGCGAGCTCAGAGGCCAGTTCGCTGAAAAGTATGGCGGCGCTGCTTGCTGCTATCCGCTCTTCTGGCGGGAGAGGCAGCGCTGTGGGTTCGTCGCCAGCAAGAGATGCATCCGCTCACGGAGCGTGTCTCTCATTTGGAGCTTACACCAAACCTGGTGGGAGGCTTCAGATCGAGGCGCGAACACCCCTATTTCCCCGAAGATTTCTGGGCGGAATTTATCGGAAATCGGAAACTAATCCCGCGTGTGAGACTTGGATCCGCTCAGGAGTGAGCTGGGAGCTGCACGAGACATGAGGAAAAACATTCCGATACAGCAGAGCCGGAGTCAACAGGATCCCCTGATTTCGTTCGTAGAGCTCCTTGTCGTGAATCTATGAGCTTTTTCGCATATATCGTCTCATGAAATAAAGAACCGTATCCAATGTTGCGCTTCATCTGAGTCGCATATCCTGCAAGTCGAAAATCGAGGAATTCCAAGTGAGTCGAAGTCGACCTCTTCCTCAAGACGGTCCGATCGCACCATCGGAGCCTGTGAGCCCAGCGCGGATCTCATCGAGTCATTTTTTGCAAAGGTGAGAAGCAGGCCGTTTATGTTTATGCTTTTCGCGCGTGGAAGTGCAACAAAAAGCAATGCTTGTTCGAAGTCACGACTGCGATCGATTAAAACCTCCATCAATGGGGGGACTTCATCCAACGAACTTGACATCCGGGCGGAAAAATCTCGAGTCATCAGGTCCTTCGCGAAAAAAATGTGATGGGACCAGCCATTCGAGTATAACATTCAGCTGTCCCATAAACATACTTTTTTCGATTACTGGAGAAATGATATTCGAAACCAGACCATGGACACTCGCTTCCCATCGGAGAGCTGTATCTAGATGATTGCGGTCAGACAGTTTTTCTAAACTTTGAAGACAACAGCGCCCCACGGCGGAAACATGAACTAATTGTAATCTGAGCTAGCTGGACCTGACTCGACTCAACCCAACCTAACCTAGGTTAGCTTCCACTCCATGACGTCACTCTCACCAGTATATAAACCCGTCCATCGGAATAAAGAATAGAGTCTCAGTAGTCACCATCCAGACTACACCCAACAACTCCAGTGTGTTACTTCTCTTCTTCCAACCAACACCTATTCTAGTGTGGACTATGCGGTAGTCTACTTCCCATCCAGACCCGGGACGTCATCGTTCTAATCCAACCACCGCTCAGATCCATAACAAAATGAAAGGAACTTTCGCTCTCGTTCATCGAGATCGAGAGACGTCAGAAAGAATCAGCAATGGAAGTGCGCGAGAAGACCCGGTGATCAACCCCATCCGGGGAGGCGTGGACCTCAACACTGAGGGTCGCAGTAGAAATCTTCTCCACTGCAGCGTTTTTCCAAGCGGTCGACAATTCTTGCTTGGACCGAGACCGATCGCTAATCTTAGGATCAAGCGGCAGTACTTGAAGTGCGTACCTCAAGTCTTCGTCAACATACTTTAGTACAGTGAAACCCGCTTTATAGGACCACCTGATAAAGGGATCGACCGCTCAATCGGACCGGAATTCCGATCCCCGAATCAGGTTTCCCGGTCACTCCGATAATAATCACTCCAGTTTATCGGATCCCACCGCCATTTGGGACCGAAATGACTAGGTCCCGATTTAGTCCAATTAAGCGGGTTCCACTGTACTTCAATACATGTCGGTGGAATCCTTGCCTTGCCCGCTCACCTCTCCAAGAAAGCTCCGTTTCGCTCACCCCGGTCACCTTTGAGATTCTTCAAAGGGTCATATGCGAAGCTATCTTGGTACACGCGGAACTCCACGGCTTGATCCCTGAGCACCTGTACGCACACAGAGCCGGCTGATCGAGGACCGACTGTCTCGTGAGCTTTTTCCGTGACATCTCTCGCTGCACAAACGAGTCTACACCGGTCGAAATACTCCACACCGACTTCAAGAAGGCGTTTGAGTCGATGCCGCATGAAACCCTCCGGTCCATCCTATCCAGAGAAGGTGTGGGCTTGAAGTGAATTCAATTGATCTCCAGCTCCTCTAGGGAGTGCTCCTCTCGTGTCAAGGTTCCCGAAACACACTCGACCCATGGATCTGCCCCGGGGTTCGAATCGGACGCATCGCGAGCGAGGTCGAGAGGAATTAAAGAATGCTCGTGTTCTTTCGGGTCCAAGATACGTGTCAATTCCCAAGAAGAGGATACAACAACGGTGGACATCTATCGTAAGTATCGGGTAAGTCTGTCGCTACGTAAAATACCTAGATTCGCGAAATGGGTCTCAAGGCCTGCAGCAGGTGTCTCACCGGGGCGGAAAGAGTACTCGCTTCCCCCGCAAAATGCTGCGTCTTCGGTGACTTTAAATCTGGAGCGGAACTGGTCAAAAAATCTGAACGCGTCGCCGACGACAATGCGATGGGCCTGTCGATGGAGGCAGAAAGGATGAGGTTAGAACATATCGCCGCTGAAACTCGTATAGATGATTTGAGTACACAACTCGATGAGTCGAGAGGAAAGAATTATGATGCATGAGATGTGTATCTAGCCTCCAGAAATTAAGGCACGCATCTTTTGTCATTCGGGGAGAGCGGAGGTGGCCGCGGCTGTTCAGAGCGTGAGGCCTCTGACGGTCGAGGACACCGTCAAGCGAATCATCAGACCCTTAGCACGTCTCAAAATGAAGCGCGAGGTTTTGACGGTGAGGTGATGTACGATGATCAGACCAAATCAAGTTCCGAACACCGCGGCGTTCACCAGTCTTCCCGTCGCACAAAAAAGCTGGAGCATGCGCTGAGCTGATTTACTCCGACATTTTCGGCCCAGTGAGTGTCGAGTCTTCCGGGAAATTTCGATGACTAGCACTCTTTGTCGACGATTACAGTGGTTTCCTGATGGCTTATCCCCTGAGGAACAAAGATGATGGAGCGGTTCACGAACACGCGCATGATACAGCTCCTCAAGGACCAGTGGGCTCACTGAAGTTCGAGCCAAGTTTCGCTTGACTTCGAGCTTGGTCTCTAAAACGCATTCAGAACAGTTTTTCCGGATGCTGAGATGGGCGGCTGCCTGTTTCATCCGGTCAAGAACATGAAGGCGAAACTCTCGGACCTGGGGCTCCTCCGGC